GTACCTGTGGGTGACACGGCGGGTGGGCCCCATGGGACCCCTGCAGCGATGCCCAACTCCCAGCTGGGTGCCCTCCTCCTCCTCCCCCTCCCGTCCCTGCCTCTTTCACACACAAAATAAACCAGGAACCACCTGGCAAATCGGATCCTTTTCCCTGTTAACCCTTTGTCCTGCATCAACGCAGATCCTCCGCACTGTCCTCGCCAGCGGAGAGGGGGACACACACCCCCCCCTTTGTCACAGGGCACCCCAAATTCAGCCTTGCTCCCCGTTCCTCTCCTCCCTCACCCATCAGCTGCAGCGCCGTGCGGGGCTGCAGGCGCCCTCAGCACAGGAGAACCCTCTTATTTCCCACCCTGAGGGTTTTTAGGGTCCAAGAACAGCCCTAGGGTCCCCCTCGGGGTCTGAACTGCCCCTTGGGGACTCGGGGGAGTCCTTCCCGTGGGAGTGACGGATAATCCAGGCTGCAGCAACAGGCAGGAGCTGGGCAAGCCCAAAGCACCCCAGGGCAAGGAGCACTACTCCGTGCCTCAGTTTCCCTGTTGCCCAAGGGCAGGGATTTCCTTCCCCACGGCACAGAGGCACTTTTCCAACCTGCTGCTGGCTCAGGGCTGAGCTTTAAGCAGCTGATACGGGCGCAGGGAGCCGGTCGGGGTGCGGAGCAGGGCACCCACAAACTGCGATAAGGGCCGGGCCGGGCGGAGGTGACTCAGGCTGCTCCCGTGGGGCCGAACCCCCTCTGCTCCCCGCGGCCGTGAGGCCGAACCACAGCGGCTGCACATCCACCCTCCGCACGGGAGCGCCGGGCCATGCCGGAAGGATTTACGCACCTCGGACAAACCCAGCACGTCCGGATCCAGGAGGGATTTCATTTCCTGGGAAAAGCCACGGCGAAACGAAGCAGCCGCAGACGGAGCAAACCGATCCCGCGCCAGAGTCACCTGCGAGCGATAAACACCCCGGGGCCTTTCATCCCCATCTGCCAGAAGTGACCCGGAGGTTTCGAAAAGCCTTTGGGGTGTCCCGGCACCGCTGTCACGTGGAGCTCCCGCTCAGCAGAAAATAAAGGAAAATAAATCAACTCCCTCTGGTCCCCGGTCCCCCAGCCCGAGCCAGCCTGTCCCTTGGCACCGTCTCTCTGCTGGCTATTCCTCAGGCTAAAGATTCAGCCTGCGAGGGACGTGTTTGTTTGAAATAAACAGGTGGCTCCGGGGACCTTTGCGCAGCTTTCGGGAGAGCGGTGCCAGGAGGTGACGCCTACCTGGAGCACCCAGGTCCAGAGCTGGCACAGCTCGGCCCTGCCCTGCCCCGCGGGCAGAGAAACCGCAGCCCGGCTGCGGAACGAGCTCCAAAGGGGTTTTTGTCTGACACCGTCGGGATTTTAGTTGGACTAATATCCCGGGCTCGGGGTCAGGGAACGAGCCCTTTTCCCAGCTCCCGCGCTCGGTCTGGGGCTACACGGGAGCTCGGCGGCCATTTCTCCAGCACCTGCAGGGGAGGAGAACCTGAGACACCAAAACACTCTAAATATTTCCAGGAGTTGGCCCCTCCCTCAGCAGGGTGATGGGGTGCAAGAGGCCCCAGCACAGGTGTCCGGGGGGCTCCCGTCCCGCTCCGCACGAGCTCACAGCTCCCGCTCGGCAGCTCTGCCCTCACACACCAGTACCAGACACGTCCACGGCCAGTGTTTCCAGTGCCAGCACAATTCAAGGCTCAAAGACGAGCACGACCGTAAAGAGAGACAACGCGACAAGTCCTTCCATCCGTCTCCCCTCAGAACCCCCCCAGCCTGCCCTCGGAAGCCCACAGGGGAGCGCTGCCGGTCACGGGCGTTAGTTACCTTCACCCCTTTCCGCCCGCAGATCCTGAGGGCGCAGCCGGGGCGGCTGCCAAGAGGCAGGAACCGTTCTGCAGCGGGAGCCTGGCGAGGAGATCTCCACGCTCGGGCACATCCGAGGGGGCCACACCAGTCAGACCAGTTAGCACGAAGCCCCTGCACCCTTCAGAGGGAGTTTCTGGAGCGTCAAACGGCGACCGTCTCCCTAATCCCGCCGGTTGCGACACTCGCCAGGCAAAACAAAGGGTGCAACCGAAGGTTGGGGCGAGGGGGTGAGGAATCCCAGCTTGGAAACATTGTTCTGGTAACAAAGGCGCAGTGTTTGCCCCGGTACGGCCCGGGATTTCTATCCACCAACACAAAATTCTCGGCTGCCACCACCACGCCGGGCCCAATGCGCGGCCAGACCGGGGGTACGGTGCCACGGGACCCCGGCCCGAGCCACCACGGAGCCCCTGCCCGAACCTCGGGGCCAAACTCCAGCACCTCTCACCGCGTGTGGGTCCCCCGAGCTGAGGCATCGCTGCGCCGCTGCCTCCTCCAGAGGGGAAAAAAAAAAACCCAACAAACCACCACCACAAATCCATGCCCGACGGGCAGCCGCGCTATGATTTATTTACGGCGGTGAAAAGAAACCTTATACTAGTGCTGGGGGCTGTCAGGAAAGCTGGCGTGAGGTACCAGCCCTTCGCGGAGCGGAGGAACGAACCCAGCGCTTTCTGCTCCCCACGTGTTCCCTCTGCTCTCCTTCTTACATTTATTTTACCGAGGGAGTAACGTGTGGATTTATTTTCCTGACTGTACGGCCTTTAGCCGTGTCTGGAGGCAGCCAGGTGCCTCCAGGACCTCCTGCTCAAAGAAAAGCAGGCTTCCCTCTGGTGTTTGCTTTATTACAAAGCCTCCAGTTCCTCAACAGAGCAACCAGGGGGGGAAAAAACCAAAACAAACAAACAAAAAAAAACCAAACCAAACAAACAAACAAAAAAACCCCCCAAACCCACCCAACCAGACACACGGCAATTAACTGCTCACTGAAATACAACCGGGCTTCCCAAGCCCGGCTTAGCAAAGCTCAAACGAGCCTCCCAAAGGTCTGTTATCAGCACTAGGCAGAGCTCCTTCCCACAGGTGTTTTGGCAAAGGTGGGCAGCACCCAGAGGAGGGGCCCCCCCGAGATTCACGGGGTTCAAGGAGACAGTGGGGGGGGTCTGTGGCGTTAACACCTTCGTGTCACACTTCACCCCAGCTTATCCACAACAGGGCGAGGGCACTCTGCTCTGAATACGCAGTGGGGTTCGGCGGGGGGGCTTTTCGGTGTGTTTTCCTCTTTTTTTTTTAAAAGGGAGGAGGCAACACACCGCTGCCATGGAGGTGACAGGGCCGAAGCGCAGCCCTGGCAGCGTTTTTGCGGGCTGTTGCTGATCCAAACACACCTGCAGCCCCTCGTGGGTTAACGTCGGCTCCCTCCCGAGCGCTGGCCTGGCGCCCTGCAGCTTTTGCTCAGTTCTTTTTGGTGCTGGGGGTGTCACAATTCCTCCTGCTGGAGTATCAGAGCAGCAGCAGCAGCATCCCGACGGAGGGCAGGGTCATCGCGCCAAAAAAACGACCCGGTCCAGCTGGAAGGAGAAATTGTTAGAAAGAATTCAAAACAGATCACACGCAGCTGAGTTGCAGCCGTCAGATCTGTCACCCACAAAGCTTCTGGCCCAAATCCCACAGTGCCAGCCCCTGCACAGAGGTAGCTGGGATGGGAACTGCTATTTCTGTGATGTTTTCTTCCGGACAGCAGGCACGGGTTAACTGCAATCCAGGCTGGAGTTTTTCAGGTGCCTGTAGTGCAAAGCCAACACAGGGGCACTGCGCTGGGCTGCACAATCACTGCAGTGTAATTTCAATTATTTACTGAAAGATACTTACACAAAGCGAGGCGAGACCCTCCTGTCAAACTCGCGCTGAGCCAGGATTCCTCCCTGCCCAGGAGCACTCCTGAAACAACCTAAAAAAGGCGAGGAGGAGGAGGAGGAGGATAGTATTTGCCACCATCCCTTCCTGCAGCAGAGCACGGGCAGCGTGAGGTGCAGGGACATGCATCACCCTCTAACAAGCTCGGAGAGCGCGGTCAGGTGCGTCTGTTGGGCTACAACTGCATAAAAAGTCAGATCAAATCACTCACCATCACCCGCCCGCCCTCCTGTGCCGGGTACGTGACGGTGGCAGAGGTGAAGTTGAAGTAAGCAGCTTCGAGAGGCTGCAGAAGCACAGTGTGGGGCACTTCAATCCCTCTGAGATCTGAAACTTAAGGAAAATAGTTGCATTTCATTAAAGGAAAGTAAGGAAACGGGGAAAGAATTGAACTGGGTGGCCGACAGATCTCCTGTAGTTACAGCCAGGCAGCCCAGCCAAGGGGATGCGGTCGCTCCTCCTTCCCCACAACACCCTGCCCAGGCTCCAGCACGCTGGAGTCTCAGCGATGACCGAGGAGAGCAGAGCTACAGGACACTGGGGGGTAAGAACGAGCATTGGATGGGAGAAATTTCCACAAATGAGAATACAGCGAGCGATCTGGAGCCACCTGATACTGAACATCACAGAGACGACGCCAAAAGCCTCCAGTGGGGAGAGAATCACCCCACAGGTCCGTGTCTAAAGCAGCACAAAGAAAGGGATAGGAGGGAAGTCTCAGATTTGGTATTCGACTTGCTGGGGGACTGTGCCTGAGGGATGGCAGCTCCATCCTGACAATTAACAGCGAGAAGAGCTGACTTTTGAAACTTAAAAAGGCACCAGGGTGGGGAGTCAAGGTGTATTAAAAGGGGAATGCAGGAAGAGGAAGGCAAAGCTGAGAGAAGCTGCAAATAAGACAGGAAACTGGATGTCAGAAAAACTCACGAAGCCAAGAAAGAGTGTTTGTGTGCCCGGGGAGGGGAACATCACAAGACAAAACACGAGGAGCCGCGCCATGCTGGACAGCCAGCCACCACGAGGGGAAAGCAGGAACCAGCGAAAGCGAGGGGAAGGAAAAGGCAAATCGCAGGGTCGGACCTTCAAGCACCAGCTGTAAGCTCAGACTTAGGGGGAGCGAACAGCACACTACAGAGCTCAGGAAGAGTCGCCAACCCTGCAGACACACACACACAAAGATTTGCTCCTGGGATGTACGAGCCAAAGCTCTCCCGGAGCCAGCGGCGGAGCTGAGGTCCTGCAGAGGCCCATCCTCCACAGCACAACCCTTCGAGAGTGATTCGGAGGCCAGGAGCCCTCGCGGTGGGCCACGCAGAACAGGGCAAACATAGCGAGAATCCGGAGCCTCATCTAGAAGCAAATAGAAAACGGAGGATTTTATTGCGAATAAAGGGAACGCGAATGGGACAACTGAAGGAGACAATCCAGGCCTTCCCGGGCAGCGGGACACCAACACCTACATACTTCACGGCGATGTTGATATCGCAGAGCAAGGGAAACGGCCCTTCAGGCACTTGTGCTCTTGCTGGAAGCGAACAGGCAGCCGCGCAGCAAAGCAGAAGAGGAACCGGCCGCCGCCTCTGACAGAACAGAGCTCGTTCCTCTCCCTGAAGTCCCTGTTCTTCTCAGACAGCACTAGCCCTTATTTCCCAGCCACTGAGGGACTACCAACTCCTGCTGGCGGCCTTTCTCTCCCCCAAAGTCCCCGCTTCAGGCCACATGTCTCTGAGCTGCCTCCCGGACACGCCAGTGTCACTGCAGACACGCTGCGGCGTCAGCCCCGCTCCCTCGGCCAGGGGACCCGTCCTTCCCCTCAGTATCCCCCTCCACGCCCGCTCCCACGCAGCCCGGAGGGCTCCTGCAAACCAGAGACACCCCCGGGGCCACCGAGCGCTGCCTGCAGAGACCCGGCACCCGCGACACCCCCAGAGCTGCAGCAGCAGGGCCTGTCCGAACCCCCACAAAGCCCCCTCCCACAACACCCCCCTGGGACCTCTCCGACACCCACAGACCCTTC